TCGAGTGGAACGAAAACGAATGGAAACCGTTTTGTGCATCGAATGGGGGTTGCTAGTGCTACGTGGATTGTGAATTTTTTAAAAACATATATGTGGTCCAAATAAGTGGTGACGATACGATATAAAACGGAGAAGAAGTGCATGCCGAAGGAACCCTAATGCTTATGTCGCATATGGCTAACATTAACTATGGAAAAGGTAAATAAAAATCGTGGGAGATCACAGGTAGAAAGCACTGAAGAAACTTGTGTACACACAAGACTGTTATTGAAATTCAAAAGGATAAAGTAGCTAGTGAGATGTTGTTGGATAACACAGCAACCATAGGTGAGGTCGGACATCAATCCACCTCGGTTTCGAAAGCATATCCGATTCTGATCAAAACAGAGGCAGCAACAATGTCCTACGCCGTAGGGTTTTGCCACCTGACGAACGATCCGCCGCTAACAACAAAACAGAAATGCTCGTTTAAAGCATCCTAATGTGCGTAAATCTAACCCAACCATTAACAAAGCCTTCATTATTACCGTGTTGTCCCATGAGTGGGGCCGGTCTGTGTTAGGGACAGAGATACAACTTGGAAGAAAAAAGATGATTGGTACTAGTCGAGGATGGGTGTTGTTCTTTCCCAGGTTAAGTAGGTAGATTAGCAAGCAGTAGGTTTGTTGTAGAGAACACATACAATAGTGGCCCATTGTGATGCACTAAAATAGTTTCTTTATGATCAAACTAAGTTTCATTATATTTATCACCTGTATTAATGCTTTAGGTACGGACAATAATTTATATATTGTCTACACTTCGATCTACGTAGTTTTTAGTCTGTTTAAGTGTCAGTTAAACATGGCTGACCTTGAGTGCCAAGATTAAATGATCTGAACATGAAAACCACAAACTTTATAAAGTATAACAACGCAATATTTTCTAATAGGAATGATTCAAGAATTATCCCAAATTAATTCCATAAACCCTTGCCATCTCGGTTATTTGTTATGAGGCACTATTTTATTTAATATCTAATCCATTATAGCAACCCTACTGGATAAACAAATGAAATTCTTTCATAACCCAGAGAAGTTGCATTAACTAAGGTTTCATATTAATATCAATCTATATTTGATATCTAACTCACTGAATTCGAGAAATACCACTTCAATGAAAGTCAACCTTGAAATCAAGGTCATTTTTGTGCACAGCTTTGAATGTTCGTATTGGTGTCACTATAATGAAGCAAGCAGCGGTCGAAACCAAAAGTTCCCGTTATCTCAGTGAAGGGGACAGAAACAGAATTGCACGAGCACACAGGCTGGGATTTTCCATATCACATCTTGCCCAATGCTTTAAAGTTAACAAAAGTACAATTTACAGGAACGGGCAACACGTAGGCACGGAGGGCAGGCCGATAACCGGTTCAAGCGTCAAACGACGTTTGAATTGATTTCAAGCTGGTATTCAAACAGTCAACAAATCAATTCGCGAGGACAGTTCAATCCTAATATCCGATTGGAAGCAGTCGATCGATATTGTATTAGAGTCAGTTTGCATGTCGTGAGTGCGTGTGTGTGGGCTAGCTGATAGCATCAATCACTCAATCGATCAATCAAACAATCCGGCCACATGCAAGCGCGACAAATTTACCGGTCACTTGCTGGCCACAACAGGTGTTTTGGGTTGTGGCTGGTCACGATCCCCTTGCATCTCAAGAACAAGTGTGCCTCAAATAGCCTCTGCTGAGGAAACCCTGCCCACTACCTTTCTGCGTCAATTTCTACTACACTCCCCAGGTTCCGCATTCACTGTTCCATTAGGCTGATTTATTCCTGCCTTGAAGCAAGAAGTAAACGGGAGTGTGTGCGGTATTATACTGATCACTCCATTCGATACGTACTGATTCCTTTTCACTGAAATATCTTCCATGATTCCTTTATGTTGTGTTCATCTATGAACCTGTACTTTCACAATTTTTACATGTGCTGAAGGTCAATTTGTGTAGACAGAAGTCGAACTGTTAGAAGGATTATCTCCGCTCCCAGGTTTACGATCATCGCCGAGCGAAAAGCTGAAATACGGGATTTCATCAAGTCATATTCAATTTTAAAGAATGCTTCAAAAAACAATTTTTCTTGCGACAAAAAATTGCACTAACCATGAGCTTTATACACAACTCGATTTTATAATGGGTGCCATGAACATTACTGGTTTTAACTTGAGTATGGCAACGGGCAACCGTGTTGAGTTAATGTTTGGCAGACTGGTGTAAGGTACGATCATGGGATATCAATATGCTCACGTCATTCTCAGTGACCCTGTAGGAACAAAGAGATCCAAGTAGGCCATCACAAGGCATTACCAACCCTGGCTCAATGAAAGATGTTCCTTCCACAAGTAGATGTTTTTCGTGAGATCAATGTCAACACGTGTGAGAAAGCCAGACGGTAAAGTAGATCCCGATCACACCGAGGCACGATACTTGAGGCGGAAAAAGCGAAAGCCTTCCGGAAATGTAAAAACAGATTGATACCTATGGCCCCGAACTCCGTGAGTCATGCATCAGAAAAGGATGACGGTGCGTGAGTTGAGTGTTTCAAGGCTGACGGTACAACGATCCCTTGAATGAAATACAAGAAAATAAGAAGGCGCACAGCTCTAATGAATTTACAAAAGGAACAATTTTGATTGCAAACGGAAAATCTTGACTTGGAAAAACAGTTAGCTTTACTTGTCTACCTTAACGATGAAAGGAATTCTAATTAAAATGGGCTCGACACGTGGAACTGCTACTGGTATGATCTGCGGGAAGATGAGTGATACTTCAGGAAGCGGATTAGCTATCGAAACTCTGTGGTTATGAGGACCGTCTCATCAAACAAAGACCCGATCGAACGCGTTCTACTGCATGGGATGCAAGATTCCGGTGCATATGCACGTGACATCGAATGTTCACCTCGAAGTCATTATGCACTAAGATATCGCCATAGTTCATAGTTCCTAAAAAGTGCGGGTTATTATTTCACGACATCAACACATTGGTGTGGCCTACAAGGAGCCCAGATTGGAATCCAATAGGAAATGTTTGAGCTATCCCTATTCTAAAGGTGCATTAACACTTCAGAGATAGCACCACAAACATGAACTGGAGGTATTGTTTATAACGGAGTTGAATAATATCGACTCGGACATGACTCGAAATCCAATACAGAGTTATGTAGTGACATCGAGAGTGCAATAATTTTGTCTTTGTTTTATCCGACATATTTTCCTTAATGAAACTTCCTACGATGGCTTTTCATTTGTCTGCCGTTTCGATTCTCAAAAATGATGATAGGGATTTCGCATGTGTGGGCGGCGATAATTTAGAAAATCTAGGGAGGTACAACACTTTTACCGAGGAGTGTATGCACCTCAGGTTGTTAGAGTTGTTATTTGGGTGAATTTCTGTGAAATCCTCACGGAGTGGGTGGGCGGAGGTTCGTTGTGTTTTACTTCCGGCGAATTTCATGCGTTCCCTTCACATGGATGATTATTGTCGTACAAACTAACGAGGACCCTAATTTGCCCTTATGTTGTGAAATGCAATAACGTTTGAATGAAACCCAGGCTCCAAAGAAATATGCAGTTGTTTAGGGAAACATTGATCATATACGTGCTGTTCTAATCAGCGAACAGTTTAAAGGCTAATCGATATTGAGTACACAAATGCAAACTATCATGAAGAAGAAAGACTATTACAAAACGAAAGCAGCCTAGGGAAAAACATAAATGAAGAACCTAGGCGTTGGTGGCGGGATCCAAACTCCGGATTTCCAGGTTGCAGCTTGACCACGTGACGCTGCTTTTCTACATGTGAATGGCTTCTAAATATCGCATCGATTTCAAGCCTGGAAAAGATGATGCTGATAAATTGTGCGTTGTTCTCGCTCGATGTGATCCGTATAGGAATGTTCTGATTGATCATGTGTAACAAACAACCAAAGTATTTTATTCATTAAGAATAAAAGTGAACTCGTTTCTCTTTTTTTGTTTCATCCGACAATCCACCAGGACCCGATGATGTCTGGAGAGAAACAGAATGGGACAGCCATGATTCGGGACGTGGTTCGAGCAACCGATTTCAAATTTATCAAGGTTTTGGGCAAGGGCAGTTTCGGTAAAGTAAGTCTTCACTTCTTGGCTCTTAATACGAATGATAGTTTAGGAATAAATGCCAGTCTGTACTTGTTGCGTTTCCTGTTCCAGCTGATTTTACCATTTGTTATCGGACCGTATCCGAAGGAAGTCAGGCATTTCAAAATAGTGCGAACGAAAAGGTCTTTTTCTGAGCAGTGTGCAACCTTGGAAATCAGCTCTCTGCTGGCTTCCCTGCCCAAGGTCTTTTTTGGCACGCACCAGAACCAAGCTCTTCTGTAACAGATGTGGTTGACTTGACGGATTTTGCTGCTCGTAGAGCTGATAGAATTGGGTCGATTCGTTGTCATTCTCACGAGCCTATCATCTAAGTTCATCTCTGGTTCTTCTGCTAAACAATCTCACTGTTTTATCGACACAAATCTCTCATTTGCAACGCCCGGTATATTTGTTTGGACAGTTCTTTCAAAACCAGTCTCATTATTTCTCAGTTCATTGCTTCACCTGGTGCTATTGACGCTCTTTTGTCACAAAGATTAGTAAGATGAACAGGGGAATAGACGTACCCTATAATCTTATGGAGGACCCACTATTAGGCATAGTGAAGTGATCAATCAACAAGACTTTTAGGCCTAAAAATGCAAATGAGAGCAATTTCCCCTAGCGATATCGGAAAATATTCAGTGATAATTCTTGTGGGTGCCATTGACTGAAACGTTTGCCATGCACGCCTGTGGCCAGATTGAATGCTTGATTGACAGATGACACCTGCTACCGTACACGCACGCACTCAAATCATGCGGACTGATTCTAACACAATATCGATCGGCTCCAGCCAATCAGCTGTTAGCATGAACTGTCAACTTGATTGATTGGTTGACTGATTGAATACCCGCTTGATCGCATTTGGAGGTCGTGTGACGCATGAGTCAGTTGTTGACCAGCCAGCCTGCCTTCCTGCGTGTTGACCGCTTCTGATTTCTCATCGGCCTATTGACCGGATACATGTGTGCCTGCTAAAGTAACTATAATTCCCGATTCACTGAGTGCTTATTTAGCTACTTAAACGGGAGAAAACAGTAGTGCTCATGTTGTTTTGCGCTTGCAATCTTCGATCTTCCAAGGACATTCTGATTGTTTATTTTGCATCTACTCTCATGTTTTGACTCACCTTCACTATAATTAACCCCTTATATCTGGTTTCCACAACCGAATAGTCTGTTCATGTGACTACACGATTTACCCCGTTTTCGTCGTTCACATACTCAAGTAACTATGTCACTAGAAAAATACAAAAACAAATGATACATTGCTACCACTTTTCTATTGAAAATCATATATATTACAGAAAATTCAAATCGGTTAGATAGATTTCTTCCCCATCGATGATCCCCCGGATTTGTGCGTTTCTCCAATCCTTATGAGTGTAACAGAAGTACAGTTTTCAGAAAACAATAATTTCCGGGCATGAGAGTTACTCTATTTTATCATTACGTGATAGAGTCCTGTCAGAAGAGTAATACATATGTGGCTATCCTGTAACCCGCTGTCGGATAATAATTGAAACCTTTTACAGTCAGAGGTTTGTGTGTGTGTGTGTGTGTGTGTGTCTGTGCGTGTGTAGTGGTTGAGCATTTTATCAACACTTCAGTGTCACCCGGACAGAACCAATGTGGTAAAAGTCGCTCACGCATACAACTGTTCCATGTTCCCACCTACGCAACCGTACGTACACATTCGGTTTGGACAACTCGTAACTCACAGAAATAGTTCTCGCACAGTCACACAACTGCACACGCGGTAGTCGGTGTCGAACACCATGATGATGGGGAATTTGGAACTGAAGTTGAACAATTTACCGAACAACTATGAAGGTAGTTCGGTGCGAACGGAGAGACAAGGCTCCTGGGAGGAGTATTACGCCACATGTAAAAATGGTGATTGAGATCATCTGACTGATTGTAGCAATTCGCACGGAAAGCACTGAAAAAACGATCTGCCATTGCGTGCATTCAGCTGATATTTGCTCAAACTTAACCGCCATCTTTCCGGTCTGATTGTTTATATTTATATATCCATATCGATTAGAAAGAGAGTTTTAAAACATATGAAAAATCGCTAAGCACTTGCCCATTTTTGCAATAAAAACACTATTCTAGACACTCCAGTTACCATGGTCGAAAGTGGTACCCATCGCGTATAAATTTGGCAGTGGCTTTGGTCCATTGTTGTTGGTTGCGCAACGAGTGCCGCTTTACCACCCCTACCAAGCGCCGTAAAGAGTGTAACGGCGTTACTATTAGGTTTCTCTAGCAGTCTTCATTTCCTCATGTTTTCTAAACTGGAATGTAACCCATAGATGCGCTATTATCCTATCACCGTTATTTTATCATAACTTCATTTAGGGACTTATTGATTGGTCAGGGGACGGCATTTGTTACACTTTCCCTAAAAAGGAAGCGTTCGAATAACTGCTTTATCTGTGCTCGAAATCACCAATGGTACTTATTCAGCTCGGTTCTTACCGCTTGGACTCAAATATAAGAAGACTTCCATGTTTAATTTTACGTCACAATTAAATGATATATCACCCAGATGCCTGTACGGGAAACTACTCAATAGACTAAGTCTGTGCATAGATTTAAATCTTGAGATTTGAGTAGGACTGATTCACTACGAAATCTGACTCAACCCGGTAGCTAGGGGAGATTCGAATCTGCATTTAACCGAGAACCTGGAGCGAATATATGACTCCAGCTCCACCAAAAGGGTGACCCTGCCCTGTACGTGCAACATTATAGATCCAAAGCTGATCGTTAGTCTGATGGCCCGGACAACATGTTTTGTGAATTTCATCACTTGATAAACGATTAGGATAATCAATTGATTCATTATGCCGACTTACGTTATATGCATGCCCATAAACGAGCTGCTGAGAAATATAGGCTTAGGCGAATTGAATGGGCAATATGAATCAGCAATTTGCATTGGCATTTTAATTTCAGTTAATATATACAGTAACCATGTAGTTTTGTGCGATCGTTTTGGTTTATCTATTGGCTGCCCAGTTGAAAGCAGGAACAGAGGGTTGACTGGAATGTTTCAAACAGGCTAAGTTTGCCAGGGCAATGAGCAGATACAGGAACTCCAATGAGATTCTGTTACTGTAGCCATATCGCACAGTGCCTCTAACCATCGATTACGATGATCCCGAGGTCTCCATTCAGGAAGCCTTATGCGAGCAGGTTTCCTGGACATGGTTTTCCTTCGTTCACGCCAGGTTCTAGTTTGACCAACCTTTACTTTTTTCACTCATCACCTGTCCGGTCCAGCAACGTACGCCGTGGCAATCTATTTGATGACATTCTCAGCACATGTCCTAACCAACTTAGTCTATTTAGGCCAACCACCTGCTCCACTGGACGATCGTGGTTATCCGAAACCTACACCTTACCTCAGCGTTGCTTACGCGGTTGCCTCACTAGATTCATGCAGTGCGGTGTAGACAGCTGTTTTCGAACACTGTCCACCCATCCTATGTCCGTAATGACCAACTCTGTACACCGTATAGCAGCTCTGGCCGAACTTCTGCGGCATACACGCAGTGATTCACATACAGTTGGACGTCACGCGGGTACCATAGATATCTGAAGTGGCGTAACAGGTGATAACCTAGTAGTTGAACTCACTGGTACTGGCAGTAAATCACTCGTAAATAATGTATTTTATTTTAGGAAACCTAGGCGTATGGTGTCCATAAAAAAATTCCCAACTGGGGTCCATATCATAGAGGTGATTGTAACATGCTTTATTGGATACGCAGTTTAGACTAATAGTGTTCTTTTTTCGTATTAGCTCTATTTATGTGACACAAATCAAGCCGGATCTAGTCTTGTAGATTATGATTCCCTCACTCTCATTGGGCCGCACGTGATCAATCGTTCCATCGATGTCACGAGTGTTGCTCAATGCGATCGATCTGTATTTGTTAGTTTTTGTCTCGTACACTCATTGCTCAGAAGTTCAAACAGCCCGTTCTAGCTTCGTAACTCGTGTGTTCTTTCTGACGAAGAACAGACAGTGCTGTGATACAACACCACACATGTTCAGCAGCCTGTGGTTTCGGGAGAGAGAAAAAACAGTCCAGGAGGCAAAACCGGAGCTAGTTTGAACAAGATATCAAACGCGCTTCGAGTTGGAGGAAAATCACACGTTTGGAGAGGAAAAGGGGTATCTGTGAGGCGGACTATTAATCCGACCTGAATGATTGAATGCACCCATAAGTTTCTTCCACCCCCGTAACTTTCGTCCAAGTAAAACGGGAGCAAAAGGGCTGACACAAAACAATTAGGCAATTTGAACTGGGAAATCATTGAACCAAATTGTTTGTATTACAGAAGGTTATATCACCAATGGTATCTATTCCTGCATGCATTGGAGAAACCGGATCGAGAATAGCATTCTTTCATGTACAGGAATGAATAGCGCTTGTGTTATATTTTGTTGAAGATTCATTTTGAAACCAGTAGAAATTTGAGGTATCAATTCTAGTAGATTTTATTTTATCACAAAAACTATTGTCCGGCGTTGGTGGCCCGGTGGTGAACGTTGCTAAAAATTTGGAATCGCACCACCACCACCACCGCCTGACTTTCCCCAGTTGTGTTGTGTTCTTCAGGCCAAATAAGCGTTCCTCACGTTCATTCAGATCCACTTACGGGACAAATCAGTAGAATTGGTGATGAACAAACAGCGAGTCTTCAACCGAACCGGTTCGGGATGATGAGAGAAATATATGGTCAGAACATCACGCTGTAACAACCACTAATGTAAGATGGACATAATCAAATCATTGTGGAACACAACATAATCACGAACACACAAAGCGTAATACGGTTAGGAACAGAACTAACAAGGTTTAATGCGAATCGCCAACAGGACGGCGGTGGCGTGGTGGTAAAATTATCACCTCGGAGGACGGGTGTTCGAATCCCACTACCACCACCAATACCACCACGAACGCCTCT